TGACTCCTGTCTGACTGCTGAGCGTGGACACTTCCTGTGTCTGTCCTTTCAAAGTAAACTCACACATGCTCCAGTCATATAGGTTTGGATTTATTTTGACGAGGTGCAGCTCCTCATAGAGTTTCATGTTTGTGTTTGTTTTTTCTGTGACTGCAATGAAATCTTGTTGACTAATGACCTTTCTGGTCGAGTAACGTTTGGTCGACTGTTAGTATGGTTCTCACCTCCCAACGCTCTATGTGATCCCAGAAAAAGTTTTTGAATGGTGTTAAGAAGACTTTGACGAATACTGAACGAAAAACACCAAAAAACTTTCTCAAAACTCCTGAGCAGTGTTATCAAAGTGTCTTGTATCCATTTATGGGCTGATGGAAATCAAAACACAACTCTTTTCACTAGTGTTAATGAACAAAGAAGTTTCTAGATGATCATCCTGTGAGGGCTTGGAACTGTCTTTCGTTTGGCTTCTTTCAAAGTCTGTTTGCACTTTGAGGTTGTCATTTAATAGAAAACTTTTTCTGGAACCATGAAGCATTTTCAAACCAAACAGTTCAGGGGAGCTTCCCTGAGAACTACGTACTTTAATTTCTGTGGAGCGCTGGAGTAACGTAATCTGAGCGGTGGTCAGTGTAGCAATGTTACTTTCGCTTTGACATATTTGCTCAGTAAAGTCTGGACTTCACCGTCCGTTTTTTGCAACGACCTGTCGCTCATGTTTTGTGTTGTCCGTTGTTTACACAGCTAACATGTTTTTTTAAATGGCGGTTGCTGGTGCATCCTTTGCTGTGTTTGACCAGTCAACGTACACCTATGTCACTTAGAACTACGATCATTCCTTGTTCTGACGGTGCTGACAGAACAAACAGGTTTCTTAGAGCTATGAAAAAGTTCTTCCTCTCCTGAGGTGAGTACTGCATCACATTTTATTGTTTTTGAGTGACCTTTACCTTTAACCGAGCTCACTAGCTGATCACACGAACTTCAGCTCCATGAATTGATTCATGACCCCACAAACTGATGTTGTTAGCTAATGACCGCCTCCTTGTCCTTATAGGTTGGCTGGTCATGCTAAAATCAGCAGCTCACAATAGAGCAGATAAACACAGTGTTTAATTCATTTCTTACATTTTCCTCTTGTGGTTTAGGGAAGACTGAAAAAGAAAAGTTCACCACCCTCCAAACTCTTGAAAAGCACTCTTGCTCCACAACGTGTATGGACACAATGCAAAGCTTGACTGGGATTGGGCAACTGGTGTTTGAGGGAGGGGTTAACAATAAAAAAAATCTAAACTGAATCAGCCTTTATGAACCTGATACATAAAAAACCTGGACCAGGTCCTGATCCCGACCCCACTGATGAGCTCAATCCCAACATCCTGTATCAGATCTAACCAGTCCACACTGAGGCAGCTGGGATCTGGTCTGGGTGTTTGTCATACACAGTCCATCAGCTGGGGAACTGAAGGTCCAGCAATGTGAAGTCCTGACTGATGGGGACACTGTTTTCGTCACACAGGAAGTTGCTCTGGACAGTGATGATGAAGGTTTTTCTTGGGAGGGAGAGGAGGGTCTGGATCCTCTCTGCTGCCACCTGGATGTGCTTCACCTCTGAGCCTGGAGCTGAGGGACACAAATTAGAAAGACCCTATGACCTCGGGACTCGTTCAGAATCATCCCGACCCCCTAGGCTGTGGTTCACGGTCGGCGCCGCAATATGTTTGTAAATCTAAACATTATGTGAAGCCAACAAAGTTTCACTGAGTTGAATCATGACTGACAGGAAGTCAGTTTCTGTCCCACCTGAGCTCTTGTGGAGTTTATCAGGCGGAGCTTCGAGGATCTTCTGCAGCGGAACAGGAGGAACCTGAACACACACCTGCCTGTTGGCCCGCCCACTCACTCTCAGCACACCTGGCCTGAAACAAAGACACAAAATAATTAAATTAATTAACACAACACACAAGATGAAAATAAGAAACATTAAAAAAAAAGATCAGTTACTGTACTACAGTACAACTGATTAAAAAATTAAATGTAAAAATAAAAGCTTTCAATAATATGGTCTAAAAAGTCTCAGCGATGTACCTGTAGTAGCGGCGTACGGCGGTGTGGGGCAGGCAGGGGTAACAGGGGCTGTAGATGCCGTTGGCGTCTGTATCGAGCTCAGCAGAGCAGCGACCGCAGCCAGTGTAGGTGATGTCACCGTTCAGTGCTGCCAGGATATCATCCAGCGGTGTGGCGCCGTCCAGGACTGGCTGAGGTGCATTCTGGGAAGGTGGAGAATCCTTAAAGTGGAAGGCGGTGATCTTTACTCTTAGCTCCACGTCACCTGGTGAAGGAGACAGCAAAACCTTTCTCTCAGACGCTGTTTGAATTTGCTGTCATGTTAACATTTTTACCACAAGCCTAAAATTTACCCGTGGTGTACCTCAGGGTCCAAGTTTAGGTCCTCTACTGTTTAACACATATAAGCAGCTCTGATATACTCAATGCCTCAGAATTTAATTTTAGGGCCTAGACATTTCATCACACTGTGAAATTTTGTTTTGAGTGTGGTGTTCCTCAAGGCACAGTTTTAGGGCCTATAAAGTTTATAATAAGCTTGTGGCGTGGTTCTAGGAATGGCAGTGTCAGTCTGCTGGTCAATCCACTTTGGTTCTGGCTGAAATAAACAACAACTATGGAACCGATTCCCATGAAATTTAAATCAGGCATTTGTGGTGCCCAAAGAATTAATCTTATAACTTGATCGATCCTGTTCACCCCCACCAGGTTGACATTTGTGGGTTTGTGGAGTGAAGATCTCTCCACCATGCCACCACTTTGGTGCCGACCATCACCAGTCCAACTACACCACCACTTTGAAATAACTGGACTACTGGAGTTCATTACAGCTCTGGAAAAGTGCCCCAGACAATTTTTCTGACCTTTGCAATGTTTATTTCAAGTTTGCCTGCACTCACCGCTGTATTTCTGAGACAGCAGGGTGTCGAGGTCCAGCTCCAGACTGCTCCTTCCTACTCGAACCATTCGTGGTTGGAGAAAGTCCTGCACCTGCCGCGTGGCGGGGTCCAGAGGCCTGACAGAGCTCCAGGGAGTGGAGTGCAGCTCAGGGAGGTCAGAGTTCAAACTCTCCCTCACCAGGAGGATGTGGAAGTCCCAGACAGTCGCTGAAGGAGATGGACAATTTATTAGAATTTTTTTTTTTTTTTTTTTGTCTGATTTGGGTGAGCTGTAAAGGTAAGTGTCCTCACACAAATATATGTGTAGACCCTTTTAGGGCCAATGTCATAATGACATCATGTTATCAGCTGGAGGTGCAGCTGCCTCTCCCCCACAGGGCTGTAGGCTCCA